GATGTCCCGATGCTTGTGCGGGTGGTCCAGCAGCGCGCTCCGGGGGTCCCTCGTCTCCTTCTCGGTGACCTGGATGAGCTCCGGAACTTTCGCCCCCCCCCCCCCCCCCCCCCCCCGAGCTCGCCGCGCTCGAAGGCCCCGCGGGCCCCGCGTGCCGCGGCAGCCCCGGCAAGTTGGTCCCCCTCCCCCCCTTGGCGGCGACGTCGGTCCTCGCGACCTCCTCGCGCTCCTTAAGACGGCCCAGCAGCAAGGAGATCCCGCAGCTGAGCTCGCTGCTCCCCGCTGAGCCCAACACATCCTGCATCTGGACGTCCTCCCCGACCTCCGAGACGGCGCGAACTCTTTCTCCGACTGATCCGAGTCCGAGACCGAGTCTCCCCCGACGACCGACCGTAAAGCTTTCCCGTGCGACCTCCAGCTGCGGCCGACGCCCCTAATCACGAAGAGGCCGCAAGCAATCAGGAGCGTAAGCTCCAGGTCGAGCTCCGCGAAGTACTCGGCCAACTCGTCCCAGCGCTCGTTCGCGCACTCGGTGACCTTGACAACCTCCTGCGCCGTGGAGTAGACTGCCCGCAGCGCCGCCCAAATCTTCAGACGCTTCCCAACGACATAGATAGCCCACGAAACGCCGCCCCAATGCCCCAAGGTGCCCCACGATACGAACGAGCCCGCCAAGTTGATCGCCGTCGACAGGTAGGGATCCTCTCCTTTCGCTTCTTCCCTTTGGTGATGGTGGTCGCCGTCGTCATTGTGGCCTTATTGTTTCTCTTCCGCGCCACCGAGCTGGACTGCTTCTCAATCTATATCAAGCCTGCAGTCGAGAAGCCTGGCACGTCCGAATAGTCGATATCGTTCTTGGGGTTCGGGTTGATCTTGGTACGATCTCGAACCCTCGCAACTTGTACTTGCTTCCGAAGGTCGGTCGCCGCCCACTGTGGGTCGTTCACTTTTTGAAGGAACACCCGCTCCACCAATAGCATGACCACTTCATGCCCACGGCCACCAACGGGAGCAGGCTCGCTTGTGTAGTAGATCCTGCACGATTTTTGTAAGCATATCAGACTCGTCCAGCTGCGCACTCTCAATGTCCGGCTCCGAACAATGGTGCCCGTCGTGCTGGTCAGTCGGGTCTTCGCTGAGCTGTGGATGTTCGGGCGCAAAATTGACCTCGAAGTCCGAATCGTACAAAGTAGCTTCCTCCTCAGACGCGTTGGCATCCGCAGTGCCGTTCTCGTCCAGCGCCGCGAGCTCCTTCACCAACACGAGGCTGCCCAGCAGGACCGCGGCCCACCGCGGGAATGCCGTGGCCCCCTGTGATCTGAAAGGGATGGTCACAACTGCTCGATCTATCCCTTGAAAAAACTTGAGCAAAGATATAGCAACAGACGGGGAGAGGGAGCAGGGGCTAAGAAAAAAAAACTATCGACGATCATCTAGGCGCGTTATGTGTCCAGCCCTGACGCGCCTTTTCCGGCCTCCACGCAGCCCGATCGCGGGCGCGAGGCGATGCCGGGCCACAACGTCGCCCGCTGGTCAGAACCGCGACTGCGAGGAAACGGCCCCCACCATTGGTGGACGCACCGAAGTCAAGGTTCGACCAGTGGGCGCAATGATGCGACCACAGGGGGTGGCTCCTGCCTTCAGGATTGGCAATGGCGGACTGGGGGGGGGGGGGGGGGGGCGAGTTCTGCCCTGCCTGATGGCGGGCATGGGGTGGGGAAGGCTGTCAAGTGCCCCCTCGGGTCTACCTCGCACCAGGTGCCAGCTTGAAATGGGTGGGATGCCCACTTTGGCGAGGAAGGGGAGGCTACGGGCTGGCAGAGTCGGGGACTAGAACGCATTTGGATTCGGCAGAACAGGGTGACCGTTTGGAAGAAGGACGGCAAGACACAGTAATCGTCGGGATGGGGCGGCACCCACGAATCCCCGAGGCAGACTATCATCGTGCCAGCCCGGGGAGGCCTCAAACAGGACATGGGTTACGTTGCATATTTTGGGGACCTCGTCTGTCCCATTGCGCAAACCATCCGTGTCGCAGCCATGCCGACTCAGCATCGAGCGCGTCGGATCCGCATGGGATCCACGTCGGATCCACGTCGAACCCACGTCGGAGTACAAACACGGACTGTCAATTGCAGGACAAGAAAGGTCACCCGAAGATGGACAGTAACGTGGAGGTCGTCTCCTAATCTGTCGGGCTCGGCGCGCAACTCTTTCGGGCGACCTTCTTGAATAGGCGATCTGCGCGAGGCGATCCGGTTGACAGCTGGAGCGCGAGGCAGGGCGGGGCGACAATCTTTCAGATGGGCATGTGCTCCCCAGGGCCCTCCGGGGCCTCTCGGGGCCATCACTAGGGGGCGGTATTCTGGGGCCCTGGGCCTTCATGGACCCTGCCAAACGTTCCGAGGCAGATGGCAGCCCTTCTGGGACTACGGGGCTTCCCAAGGAAAGAGAGGCATAGGAGTCACAACGTTGCGCATGACGTCTGTTCGACCTCGGAGACTCCGCACCCCGCAGGCGGCCAATGAGAGCAGGCAGAACATTGGAGACGCAGGAGCAGAAGGCGAGGAAAACAACGAAGAGGAGGACCGCGGCAGCCGGCTCTGTGGTGTCGACACAATCGTAGAACAGGGAAACAAGAGAATACTACAATCACGCCACGCGTACACGACCAATAGAAAATGCATCAGAACAGGCCGACACAACGCTTAAGCAATGTCAGGCTCAGATGGGAGCCCGTGAACCACCGAGTCTAATATTTAGAATATTCGAGAACCTCAGTCTCGGCAGCGACATTCCCGAATCTGGAGTATTCAATGAATCGTCGTAGGCTCGGCGCACTTCTCCCCCCAAGCGGCGCCCAACCCTCGGGGCGAAGAAAAATACAATCGCCTCTTGTGCGCAGAGCTCCACATTGGCGTGGTGTCACAGAGGAAGAAGGGCACATGAGGTTGGAGCGTCTCGGGGACCGCGTGTCTCCGACATGACTAAGCCCGACGACGAGGACGAGGCCTCCTGCGACGAGGACCGCCGAGGGGCAGCTCGACCACCTGTAAGGCCGCACGGGCGGGAGAAGAAGCACCATCGTCATCGTATGGTACAGCTCGAGACCTACTCTCATGATGGGCCAGCCTGTAAACATGGAAGTATAACGTCGTATGTTTAAAGGCCTCGGGATGGGGGTGGATTAGGCCCAGAGCCAGGAGCAGGTCCAAAAACGTGGGCGCGGGACGATAATCTCCTAGTTGGCGACGGGCGAGCATATACATCGGCGAACACCCGCAAAAATAATGGTTCAGCGACTCGCGCTCCCAAAGACATCCCCAGACGCAGCTCCTGTACGGGTTACGCATCCTTGACTCAGTGATCCAGCCCCCACCAGGGACGCGATGCATCACCGCCGCGACGGCCGCCCAGTCAATCGCCGCCGCATCGGCAGCGTGGACCCCAAACCGACGCTGCAGACGAGAGGCCAGTCGACAGTGCAGACGGGGAGGAGCAGGAGGACGAGGGAGCGAAGATCGAAGGAGGGACGAGTAGAGGATCGGTTGTGGACGCAGGCGGGGGCCGCTCGCGCGCTCCTCAGGAGCCGCTGACGGGCGCGGCTCACGGTTCACGCCCCCGCCGCCATCAGCTCCACGAACATGCGGAGGCCCGCCGCCAGTCGTGCTCCTCAGTGTCTCTCGGCGCTGACGAGCCAGCGCCCGTGCTGAAGAGCCAGCGCCCTGGGCAGCCCGCCCGAGGGTGATGGCCATCGCCTCCGAGCGCCACCAGGTCGGCCAGGGGGAGCCGCAAAGCCAGTGTACCATCGGCAGGTAGCGGCGGACGGCCGTCCTCGGCGCCGACGCCTCCTGCCTCCAGCTCGTGAGCGTTGTCGTATCCGATCGGAGGAGGCAGGCCTGGCACCACAGCATGGCGGAGCGGATTGGCGGGCCACCGACGGACTGAAGTTCCTGCCACTCGCCGTCGCCGAGGAAAGACCCAGGCAGGCTGAGGAGGCGCGGGAGGAGGGCGTGCTCCAGCCTGAGCAGGGCCTGCGGCGGCTCCACTAGCTGCGCCTTGCAGCTGAGGACCGTGATGCAACGCCCGGCGTAGAGGAGCGCCGAGGCATGCGTGTCAGCCCAGGTCCTCGCGACAGGAGGAGGGTGGTGGTGTTGTGCGTGCAGTGCTGGTCGCCGGCCAGCAGATCCTGCAGGTGTGGGAGGCCCGGCCTGTGTGGGAACGTCGGCAGAAAAGATTGATCCCACCATTGTGGGAGCACTGGCAGCTGGCGGATTCAACTATTCGGCAGAGGCTGGAGCAGCCGGCAAGGGGGGTCAGCACACGCCTCTGCCTCACACAAAACTCGCCGGCTAGCCCACTTCACCTGACGACGTGCCCGCGCAGTCAGGGCTGCGAAGGGAGCGGTATCCTCGTGGGCGTGGTTGGGGTCAGAATGTGGGTGCGTGGGTGCTGTACCCTTTCAATCGTCAGCTCAGGCGGTGGATGGTCAACTTAGATTTGCGGCTGTCGGGGCATGAGATCGCACCTGCGGCGCCAGCTTCATCGTGCCGCCCCCCAGTGCGGACGAAATGTGAGGCGGAGGAGCTCCTTCAATGATTTGGTAGTCTCTGAGAGTGCCGTCGGCTGAGCGGAGGGTTGATCCTGAGCGAGGGGGGCCTGACAAAGGATGTGGAGGGAAGAGGGAGGAAAGAGAGGATCAGGGGCGGGATGATGATGATGATGCTGATGATGATGATGATGATGATGATGATGATGATGATGATGATGACGATGATGATGATGAGGAGGAGGAGGAGGAAGAGGAGGAGGAGGAGGCCCACGTTTACAGCTACGCCCCCGTCCCCCAGCGATGCTCAGCTGCTGGGGAAGGGGAACACGGGTGGGGGCAAGAGCCACAGCTCTTCGGAGGATTGAGGGGCCGCAGCTCGAAGCTAGAAGGAAGATGAGGAGAAATAGGCCGACGACGACGACGACGACGGACGAGACGGACGAGGTGCCTGTCGCAACCGTCCGCACCCTCCTCACGCCCCTGCGCAGCGAGCGGCTGGGCGGCGCCCACGCGGCCAAGGGCAGCATCGCCACGCCCTCCACGGACGACGACATGTACGAGCCCCTGCTGGTGGGGGGGCTGCTCAGCTGCTTCTGGCATCGCCCCCCCCTCCCCCTCCTATTCACCCGCCCAAGCGAGAGCTCCCGCTACTCTCTCCTCCTCCCCACCAATTCACCAGCCCAAGCGGGAGCTCCCACCACTTTCGTCTCCTCCTCCTCCTCCTCCTCCTCCGCCTTCTCCTCCTCCTCCTCCTCGGGAACTTGCCCTGGAGTCAGCATGACCCCGTAGGGTACAGTCCTGTCACCTCGAGGCCCTAGGCAGTGGCATGGCTTGATCAGGCTCCCTGCTCCAGATCCATTTGGCATTCAACTCTTTGCCCAACCCAGTGACAATTTTGACTTTCCAAGAATGCACAGTGCATTTGAGCTATCCCCCCCGGGACATCGGAAGGAGATAATGGTGATTGTCTTGTCTTGCCCTAGTGCGCCTGATTATGATCCTGCTCATGCCTCTGTCACTTACACGCTCCTGCTGCTGCTCCTCATCCACATCAGATTCGCAGTGGGTCCATTAGAACGGGGATGTGGGGACAACCACCTGCGGGAGACGACGAGGTGAAATGCAGGGACCGTCTGTACAGAGGCAAAACACGACAAAACACTGGCATCACTCTGCACAGCGAAAGCGCATGTCGGACAGCCTGTCAGAGGAGCTCTCCTCGCCGCTGACCGAGCCGACGGTCGACAACCTCTGGGGACTGTTGTATCCACCAGCCCATTCCCACTCTCCATTCCCCCTCATCCCCCTGTAAGGAGCCAAGGCAGCAGGAGGGGAAGGGGGGGACGAAAGATGGGGAGTGAGAAAGAGGGGGGATGGGGAGGATGGGGAAGGAGGGGAAGGGGAGGAACAGGAAGGGGGATGCTCACTATATGCATCATGCATCCCAGCTCTGAAAACATGTTGAAACTTATTAGCTAGAAGCGTGCAGCTGCTCCCGCAAAGAACATACGATAACAAGTGGCCAAGGGTCGCAGGAGCGCCTGAAGATGCGCCAGTCTGCGCAGAGATCGGCGGGCAAGTGCGCAGCAACAAGCATCCCAGGTCCCTGGGAGAGAGAGAGAGAGAGAGAGAAGGAGGGACAGAAAGCTGAAGACTAGTTGTCCAACGTCCGCAAGCCGCTATCTCTTGACCAGGGGCACAGGCCCCGAACCCCAGTCACAAGACTTCAGCTGCAGCGGTAAACAGTTGTGGACTCTCTGCTGAGTTTGAAACTGCTTCAAGTCGCTGCCCAAGCGCCGCAGAGTCCACAACATGGGGCCAACGTTCCGTATGCCAGAGCACATGCGAGGCTGATATGTACTCCTGAGCGCCAACTTCGACGGAACACTATTCCTCGCGGCTACGCAGCAAGCTGACATCTTCACTTGTCTGAACAAAAAATACTGACGAGACCACGCTTGGCTTTGAGCTCTGGGGACGGCAGGGCTGGTCAAGGGTGAATCAGAAAATGATCATCATACGTTTCTCTGGCGGCTGGCTCATGGTTCTCCAGAATGCCCGACGTTATCAGCGTTCACGGCGACATGGACGACTCTGCGCTATGCAATTCTGAGAAGCAACCAGTCCGGAGTGTCAAGCTGACGGCAATGGTTCCTACCTGCTTCGAAAGCCACGGCAGGATTCACAGGATCGCATCTCACAACCAAACTCATGATGCCAATTGGCGTGCCTGACAACCTCCGAATGTTCTGCAAGCTCCGCTCAGGAGAACAGTCTGTCGCACGCTGTCGCAAATTCCAAAGGACTTTGCAGGGCCTCCTACAGAACGAGCTTCCAGACGGGCAAAACCGAAAGCAGACCTCGTCGGCAGGGGATGGGCCGACCACTGTTTGCCAGCCCAAAGTCATGGGGAAGCGGGGAAGGGGCTTCTATCCATGGAAACTCAGGAGCTCCAAGCCAGTCCTTGGGAAAGATCCATTCCCAAGATTTCGACCAGGATTGGGAATGAGCCGTCCCCCAGAGCACCGTGAGCAAAAGCAGCCATTCCCGCCAGCAGAACTCAGGAAGCCTAGGAAATCCTCCTTGCCGAAGGAATGAGACGCCGAGCTTGGCCTGGTTGTTCTTGCCATTGGGAAGAAAGAAGCTCGAAACGAGAGAGTATGCGGATCAGAGCGTTGTGTACGGCCGAACGCTGAAGCGGCTGCGGCTCAGCTGCATCCCACCCAATCGGGTTCGATCTCACCAACTTCAAAGCCATGCCCAGGCGAAATGCAAGAGCCTGCCACTAACGAGCATGCCTACGGACCAACCTAGAGGAGAGGAGCAGGAGGGGGGAGACGGAGGGGCAGTAGGACCGTCGCACGTTTAGTGTGTCTGAATGTCTGACTGCAAGATCAGCCCTACCTCCCATCCCGAACCTCTCGGCCTTGGTGGGCGGGGCCTGATGAGAGGGGGAGAAGGAGGGGGAGGAGGAGGAGGAGGAGGAGGAGGAGGAGGAGGAGGAGGAGGAGGAGGAGGAGGAGGAGGGAGGAGGAGGAGCAGGAGGAGGAGGGAGGAGGGAGGAGGAGGAGAAGGAGGAGGAGGGAGGAGGAGGAGGAGGAGGAGGAGAAGGAGGAGGAGAAAAAGGAGGAAGAAGAGAAGGATCGAATCTGGTGGGTGTCATCCCGTGCGCCTGCCCCGTGCGCTGCACCTCTCGGGGCTCTCCGACAGCAGCCTGGGCTCGGAGCCCGTGGCGGACACGCACGGCGACCTCCACAGGGCACGGCGCCCATCTTTGAGCGCCAGAAGCCAAGCCAAGAAGCAAGGGGGCCTGGGGACCTCCTGGCAACCTCTCAGGTTATCCTCCTCCTCCTCCTCCGCCTCTTCCTCTCTGCACTGCGCTGTGGCTTGGCTGCGCGAGGGCGGCTGGGTGCGGCCGGCAGAGGTTTGGTGCCCCCCCCCCCGTCTGGGAAAGGGCCTTCGGCCCGCACGCCCAAGGGAGGTTTGAGTTGCCGCCGAAAGGTATGCTGCAGCTTTAGACTCGGGATGCTGCCAGGGTCTGCTGCAGCAAGGCTGGATGAGAGAGGGGGGCGGCACAGCCCTGGGACACCCTCGGGGAGCAGCCAGTGCGGCCCCCGACCCTGCAGAATGCCCGTCTGGACGCAGGTATCTGGTGCCCCTGGTCGATAGCTCGTGTGCCCTTTGCGAGAGTTCAAGACCAAACCCTCCTCCTCCGCCACATCCGCCTCCGCCTCCGCCTCCTCCTCCGCCTCCTCCTCCGCCTCCTCCTCCTCCTCCTCCCCCTCTTTCTCCTCCTCCTCCTCCTCCTCCTCCTCCTCCTCCTCCCAGATCCGCCGTCTGTTTTTGCTTAAGACATGAAATGCCACAGGCTGAAAATCAGCTGGGAACTCAATGGAAACGAGCTCGACGTTCTCGACGCCCACTCTTCCGAGCAAAGCTCGTATCGAGCCCCGGGCCGCCGCAAACTTCCAACCCCGAGGGGCCTCGAGTCCCACTTGCCTGAAGTCCCGCGAGCCCTCCGACGCCAGCCCTTCCAAACTCTCCTCAATCCTACTTTCCCCAGCCCCACTTGCATCAACCCTTCTTCAAATTCGCGGAGGGGGTTACCCATACCCCGTAGCCGAATACTGCCCCACTCGCCTAGCGAAGACTCCTTGGGGGCTCATAAGGGGTCGCCAGAGGGCCTCTTGGATGCCTCTAGGAGCCTTTGCAACGCCTCTTGGCAGTTTGGGGCCCTTGGGTGGGGATCTCTGGGGGCAGCCTTAGGGCCGTCTCGGCGCCAAGGACACTTGCCAGCATTGGTTTTTGTTGAAAAGTGGACGTGTTTGGAGGCCTCTTGGGGCCCTCTCGGGCCTCCCTTGGGGACCTCTTGACCCGTGTTGGGATCTGTCGGGGCACTCTTGGGCATCTCAGGGCCTTCTTGAGGCCCTTTTGGGATTTGTTTGGGATGTATTGGGACAGTGTCGGGGAACTCTTGGGCCGTTTTGGACGCTCTGAAAAACAGAACATGCGAGTGCGACACAGTCATACAACAGTCCAAAGGAGACAACGATATGAGCTTCTTGGGGTCCTTCGTGGGGTCTCACGCCATTGCGGTGGCGTCTTGGGTCCATCTTGGGCCGACCTGGAGCCTGCCTTGTTCTTTGAGCAGGGACCGACCGTCCCGGCATTCCTATAGTCCTACCACGAAATCTGCTTAGAACCCGAACATGTTCTAAGAACAGAAACAGTGTTCTTAGAACAGAAGCCCGACGTGTTAAAACAAAACAGTCCCAGCCAGAAATGTTCTAAGAACATTCCGTGGTAACCACAAAAGGTTCTTAGAACAATGTGTGGTAGGACTATAGGCGAGCCAGGACGCTTCGCCACTGCTTGAGTTCTGTCTTGTCAGGTATTGTCTCGTCCAGTCTCGCCTCGTCTCGTCTGGCTGTTCCTGCCTTGTCTTGCTGTGCTGGGCAGTACTGACTACCTGCCAAGCCAAAACAGGAATCGTCCCACGCTGGTCTCGTCGCCGCGCACCGACTGGAGGGGTCCACCCGCCTCGTAGGGGAAGACCACGTCGTAAGACGTCCCCCTCGCCTAGCCACACGAATAGTTCGCGCTCAAGCGCGCGTGTAGACGCAGCGTCCCGCGTACGCAGGGACGTGGGTCTATGCGGTTGCCGACTGGATGTGCTGTGGATTTCTGGGCACGATGTGGTTCCGTAGCCCGATGTAGCCTTCACATTGCCTCCAGAGCCGACGAACCTCGTGGAATCGGGGGAGCCCATTTGGTGCTGTTGGGCGATATTGGCCCCGTAGCCTGTCGTGGTGCCCTCTTGGGCCGTCTTGAAACCCTCGTAGGGCCATTGAGTCCCGTCTTGGGGCGACATTGGGGCATCTTGGGCCATCTTAGAAGCCATGATGGCCGAAAAGGCTAGTATGACAAAACCACATAAAACCTTAGGAACCTAATGATACTCGTCTCTTAAGAACTTCGTGGGGGCCTCTTGGAGGTTCAGTTGGTGACGTCTTGGGGAACAGTTGGGGCCTCTGGGGCCGTCTTGGGGCCCTCGTAGGCCGTATTGGGACCATCGTGGGCCGACTTGGAGGCTCTCTTGGACCATCTTGGCCGTTTTGAAGGCAACGTCGTTGTATAGGAGATCACCTAGGACTGGCCGTCGTGGAAACAATCGTGGACCGTCTCGGAGATTTGCCGAGGCAAAGCGCGACCATCCCACGCTGGTCCCCTGGCTGGTGTCGAATGGAGGGTTTAACCTGCTACTATCGGGGAAGTCCCTCCGAAGGGGCCTGGACCGCAGTTTCGCCCGAGATGGCTCCACGATAGTTCTAGATAGCCCAAGACGGCCTCCCAGGTCGCGCATGATGGCCCCAAATCTCCCGCTGCACCTCCAGCATGGCCTCACGACAGCCTCAATACTGCTCGAGGTGTTATGGAACCTCCCAAGAAGGTCCCCTTCAAAACATCAAGTTTCCCATCCCGTTGGCCTTCTCGCATTTCCGCTTCTGATGGTCTTCTGAGGCCTCGGGTCAAGCCCAAGATGGCCCAATGGACCCTCACGAGTCACGAGAGGCCCAGAACAGCTCCCAGGGAGCCCGATTGGCCGCCAAGAGCACCCCAGTAGTGTCCCCAGAGGGCCGCTCCAACGGGGCGGCTCTAGAAAACGACACCCCCTTTTTCCAACGATGGCCTCAGGAATAGCTCCGAAGAGGCCAGGGAGGCATCAAACAGGGCACCAAGAGAGCTCCAAAAGAGCTTCAAAAGTTGCAAGAGAAGCTGACAGAGCTCCACTATTGCTCTAAGAGGCATCCAAGAGGCTCCCAGAGGCTCCCATGTTAGCCACTCTGGAAGGGGGACACTCGGGCTGATCCCAGCCTCGGTTGAACTGGCGCCACCCTCCTTGTTTCACGACAACGCGCCTAGGAAGCGCGTGTGGACGAGCTGCTGGGGTTAAGGTCGGGAACTTTTGTTTAGCGTGTCGCGGCGGCGGCCCTGGCGACACGCTCTGCCCTGCGAGCGGATAGCGTGTCGCTCCGCTCTGCGAGGCGGGGGGCTGGGAAAGGCTCGGGATGTTGACGCTTGGGAACGGGTACGAGGGTAGCGTGTCGCTCCGAAGCGATGTGGCGCGCCACGCTAAGAGCCAACGTTTCTGACCATAAGCGAGGCGTCGAGAATCTGCATAGCGAGGCGGCCAAGTTTTCAGCCACGCTGCCGGGGGCATGGCAAGCGCATCGCTGGCGACCTCGCGGCCGCCGCCGTGGGGGGGCTCCCTGCCGATGGCGGTCTGCCGCTGGAGGGCGCCCGCGCGATCAGCTTGAGGGCGCGGGCGGCCTTGGAGCCCGCGCGGCTTCCGAAGCTCCTGGCAGGTGAGGAGGAGGATGAGGAGGAGCAGCATCAGCAAGAGTAGAAGGAGAAATGCGAGGAGGAGCAGGGGGAGGAGGAAAGGGAGGACAACGATGACGACGACGACGACGACGCGCGACAGACGACGACGACGACCAAGACGACGACGACAACGACGACGACGACGACGACGAGCGACCACGACGACGACGAGCGACGACGACAGACGACGACGACGAGCGACGACGACGAAGACGACGACGACAGCGACGAGCGACGAAGACGACCGACGACATAAGACGACGACGACGACGACGACGACGACCTCAAGCGACGACGACGACGAGCGACGACGACGACGAGCGACCACGACGACGAGCGACAACGACGACGACGAAGACGACGACAGACGACTGACGACGACGAGCGACGACGACGACGAGCGACCACGACGACGAGCGACGACGACGACGAAGACGACAGACGACTGACGACGACGACGACGAGCGACCACGACGACGACGAGCGACGACGACGACAGACGACGGCGACGACGAGCGACGACGACGAGGACGACAGCGACGAGCGATGAAGACGACAGATTACAGAAGACGGCGACGACGACGACATCAAGCGACGACGACGATAAACGACGACGACGACGACAACGAGCGACGACGACGACGACGACAGGCGACGACGACGACGACAGACGGCAGAAGACGACGAGCGACGACGACGACGACGACGAGAGACAGACGACGACAACGACGACCGACGACGACAGACGAGCGACGACGACGAGCGACCACGACGACGACGAGCGACGACGAAGACGACGAGCGACGACGACGACGACGACGACAAACGACAGACGACGACGAAAACGAGCGACGACTACGACGACACCGGACGACAGACGACGACTACGACGACGAACGACAGACGACGACGACGACCACGAGGACGACGAGCGACGACGATAACGACAACGACGACGAGTGACGACGACGACGACGACAACGACGACGACACGCAACAGACGACGACGACGACAAGCGACGACGACGACGACGAAGACGACGACAGACGACTGACGACGACGACGACGAGCGACGACGACGACGACGAGCGACAGACGGCAGACAACGACGACGAGCAACGACGACGACGACGACGACAACGAGCGACAACGACGACGACGACGACGAGCGACGACGACGACAGACGACAGACGACATACGACGACGAGCGACAGACGATGACGACCACGAGCGACGACGACGAGAACTAGCGACGACGACGACAGACGACAGACGACGACGACGACGAGCGACGACGACGACGACGAGAGACAAGCGACGACATTGACGAAAACGAGCGACGACGACGACAGACGAAAGACGACGACGACGAGCGACGACGACGACGAGGACGGCGAGCGACGACGACACTGACAGACGACGACGACAACAACGACGACGACAACGACGACAACAAGCGACAGACGACGACGACGAGCGACGACGACGAGCGACGACGACGACGGCAGACGACAGACGACAACCACGACGACGAGCGACAGACGAGGAACGAACGACGACGCCGACCACGACGGCGACGACAGACGACTGACGACGACAACGACGAAGACGACGATGAGCGACGACGACAGACGACTGACGACGAGCAACGACGACGACGACGAGCCACAGACGACGAGCGACGACAACGACGACGACGACGAGCGACAGACGACGGACGACTGACGACGCCGACGAACGACAGACGACGACAGACGACGACGACGAACGACAGACGGCAGACGACGACGACGCCGAACGACAGACGACAGACGACGACGACAGGCGACGACGACGACGACGGCGACGACAGACGACGAGCGACAGACGACAGACGACAGACGACGACGACGACGTCACGTACTGCTCCTTTTCTCCTCCCTCCTCCTTGCTCCTTCACGTGCTGGTCATCCTCATGTGTTGCAGGCGGGTAGATGGGACGAATCCTCCTCCTCCTCCTCCCCCTCCTCCTCCTCCGCCTCCTGAAATGTATTCGATCATGGTCATTGTCCTCATTCTCATGACTACCATCAGCATCATCATCATCACCATCGTCACCATAGCCACTGCCACCACCATCATCAGCATCATCCACCTCACCACTCACCCTTCTGCTCGCCCGTCCCTCTCCTCTCCTTCTGCTGCGGTTCCTCCTGCTCCTCCTTCTCCAGCCCGCGCGGCTGCCCCAGCTTTCGCGGGGAACTGTTGATGCGGATGGGCTGGATGTCGGCGAGAAGAAGGGCGAGGATCCCCTTCCAGAGTTGAGAGTTGATCCGGATGAACTTCCCCGTCCCCTTGCTCGTCCTCCCCTTCCTCGTCCTTCTCATCTGGTCTTTCAGCCCCCTCCCCCCTCTGCTACCGTTCCTCCTGCCACTCCTTCTCGAGCTCCTGGCGGAGTTGACGTCGGAGCCCGCGCGGCTGCCCCAGCTCTCGCTGTGCGTGGGGCTGTTCAGCCCCAGCAGCGGGGAACCCGCGTCGAGGCGCCTGGCCTGCACTCCGCCGCGGAGCAGGCTGGGGTGCCTGCTGGCGGGCCGCACATCTCGATGAAGAAAAACACCGAAATTTGGTCCGACATCTCCGCTGGCTCCGGGGGGTTCTCGCGCGCTCGCCGAGGGCGTTCCCAGGGGTTCCAGAATCGTGCCGATCGGCCGCCGGAGACTGGAGTGATGGCCAGAAACCCAGAAACCTCCAGCGTGTTAAAAAAGAGGTGGAGGTCTTCTCGAGAATCTACTGACCCGGGTCCATGGAAACCCGGGTCGGTCGGGATGTGCAGTATCCTGCAAGAGTCTGCAGGATCCTGCGCGCTAGCCCAGGTCAATGCAACCCTGGCTCTGCAGGATCCTGGAAGATCTGGCGTTCTGGCTGACCCACGCTTGCAGTGACCTCCGTCTCTGACAGCTTGCTTTGCGTGCGCCACTGTCTGCCTCTGGGGACCCTCGCCGGCCCGCCCCCTCCTTCCCATTCTGCAGCTACTCACTCTGAATGCTGCTCTCCCATCTCCCCCGATCGCGGTTGGGTCGTGCATGCACCCCAACCGCGTTTGGGCTCCTCCTCCTCCTCCCCCTCCTCCTCCTCCTCCTCCTCCTCCTCCTCCTCCTCCTCCTCCTCCTCCAATCATCTGCACACCCCTGCCGTTCCCAGCTCGTTCACTCCGCCCCACATTCAACCCATCCCCTCCCTGCAGTTCCTTTCCTGTCGTGCGTCGAGGGAACGTCGAGGCCTCGGCATCGCTTTGCCTGCTTCGCGCTTGGCACAAACCGATCGTGCGCGCGGCCTCTCCACCCAGATGTCGCCTGACCTCGCTGCACCCGTCCTGGTCCTGTCTGGCCCCCGTCGTCCTGTGCCCTGTAGGCGGAGGGCAAACTGGAGCACATACAGTTCAAGAGGCAAGGCCCGACTCGATAAACGATTCTGTGAAAACGAAAGATCGATCGCAGTGGGGGGTGGGAGGTAGAGGGACGAAGACGACATATCACCCCATATATGCGTCTCATACTCCTGTCACGTCTCGCTGCGGAACTCTACCTATGGGCATGTGGGTGTGAGGGCGAGTCCGCGTAGACGACAGGCGCGGCAACGGCGACCACGACGACGACGACGACAGCGACGACTTCGGTGACGTCCTCCTGTACCTTCCAGGAGGGACGGGGGAAATACAAGTGGAAGAGCGATGGAGATTGCCTCTTGCTGTTCTCCACGGCAGCTCAGGCAAGCGCGCATGGCGTTGCTACGCCCGCTCTCTGGCGTACTATTCGCGGCGCTTGCTGATACTTGGAGTGCCCAAGTGCCACGCTGGCTATATGGCTATATGAACGTGGGTGATCTGAGTGCGGGCGAGTCGAAGTGTTAGTGGATCTGGGTATGATCGGGCCTGAATGTGAGTGACTCTGGATATAGTCAGTTCAAGTACGAGTGGGTCTGAGTATGAATGAGTCTGAGTGCGAGCGTTTCTACGTGCGAAACGGTCTGAGTGTGAGTGAGCCTGAGTGCGGGTAAATCTGAGTTTGAGCGTGATGTACTTAAATCTGCCTGGGTGCGAGGCAGTCTGAGTATGAGTGAATCCGAAGGTGGGGAAATCTGAGTGTGAGTGGGTCTGAGTGTGAGATGGTATGGGTGTGAGTGAGTCTGAGTTTGAGTGGGTCTGAAGATGAGCGAGCACATATGTGTGAGTCTGAGAATGTTTAAATATGAGTTCGAGTGAGTATGAAGGTGATGAGTGAGTCTGAATGAGAGAGACGTGCCGATAATTAAATCGGAGTGCGAATAAGTGCGTCGGAGCGGGGGAAAAGGGGAAGAAGGTGAGTGAGTGAGTGAGTGAGTGAGGAGCACACGAATCCAAAAAGATATCTGCAGGGCAGAAACTGGCAAACCGCCTGAGACATCCCACAATCTGGGCGCGAATCCTGAAATGTCTCCACCCCTGGCGGCTCCGCCTTGGGTTGCCCAAGTGTCACGCCTGCTATACCGCGGTGAGCATTTGACCACAAACATTTTGACCTCCAACAACACACGACCACTTGAAGTCAGCATGCCGCAATCCCCGGCTCCACCGAAGCCCGCTGAAGATGGAACGGAGGCGTCTAGCGTATATATATCGCGCTCACAGGAGCACATGCGAGCCGTGAGCCGTGAATTACCACGCACCCTACTTCGCAACACACCAAAAACACTGCCCGCCGATGGTGGTTTACTCGGAAGGGGGAGGAGGAGGAAGAAGGACGAAGAGGGGGAGGGAGAGACGCCAGAGGAGGGCAGCAGGCCATCGAACGCCAGGAAAAACACTCGCGCGTGCGAAGACCAGACACCCCGAGCAGTGCCGGAGCCGGTACCAGCACGGATGTCCCTCACGAGTCTAATTCGAATTGCGGCCGCAAGCTGAGGTACGCCCCCAAGCAGTCTGGGTGGAAGGGCGATGGCGCCTCGCCAGATGAGCGAACACCTAGCGCCTTGATTGCCGATGCGACGCTCGGGTGAGGGAAGCCGAGAGCGAACGGCAGGAACTATAACAATAAGGTGAAAGCCGCACGAGGGGGGTGCAGGGCACGGAAAGCTCTGAGATCGGACCGTCCCTGACGCCCGCAGGGCGGTGGACGCCGCCCCCGAATCAGGGGGACAGCGCGGGCAGAGTACAACAAACAATACATTGACAATACAGAACGTGCAAAGCAACATTGTGACCGATACGGGCAGCGGAAGGCGGGAGGCACAAGGAAGAGGAGAGAGGGAAACAGCAAAGAACAACCACTGGCAGCACTTATACCAACAAGCTGTTCCGCGGGACCGCTCCCCGACGACGGCGACGACGACGACGACAACCACAACGACAACCACGGCGACGAAGACGACGGCGACGGCGACGACGACGGGGGAGGCGGGAAAGAGGGCGGAAGCCACAACAGCAGCACCAGAAGCGGGGAGAGGGGGAGAGAAGCGGTCCCCTGCCTCAGCGAGGGGAGAAGGACGAGGGGGAGAAGGACGAGGGTTCAACACCTTCGCGCGTTCCCCATGGCCTCAGCAGACAGAGACTCTCTGCCGTCGCCACCACACCCAAGGCTTCCAGGGCCCATTGAACCCGCCGCGCCCTCCGAAGGTCGCTGGGCTCCAGCAGGAGCCCCCCGACCATTGACAATGCAAAGAGCACGTGCGTCAACAACTGCGCGCCAGCCCGGCAAGAGAACACTCCACTGCTTGGGCCCGTCGGGGAGGCCTTCGGGCTGAAAAGGCCCCTGATTGGCCCCTGGCTGTCTACAATCTTGTTCCTGCGCCTGCTCCTGCCAAAGGTTCTGCTGCTGCTGCTGCTGCACCTCCTCCTCCTCCTCCTCCTCCTCCTCCTCCTTCCCCGCCGACTGGCCCAGGGTCCTACCGGACAGGCCTTGGTGCTGCTGGGAGGGCGCCGCCCCGGACGCGCCTGCGCACGCGCAGCTGGGCGCTCAGGGCCTCCTGCTCCTTCAGCAAAGCCAGACGGCTGGCGGCCAGGGAGGCGCTCTCCTGCTGGCCGGCCAGTCGTCTGGGCGTATTAGCCCTGGGAGGAGCAGCAGGAGGGAGAGGAAAGAAGAGAAGAGAGATAGGAGAGGGAAAGGGCAAGTCAAGGACGCAAGATGCGACCAACTCGTCTGACACAAGAGCCGAGCTTCCCCACCGCACTATGAGATCGGACTCGCCTGGCGGGGCCGTCATGCGGACCTTGCCGCTGGGGCCTCCGGTGGGGCTCCCTATGGGGCCACGGAGCGTGTGAGGGGTATGTCGAATCGGATGCGGGGCCCCCAGCGGACCCTGAGGGTAGGGCATTCGGTGGCCGCCATGCGGACCCTGCCGCTGGGGCCTTCGGTGGAGCTCCCTACGGGGCCACGCGTGAAGGGTGTGCCGAATCGGGCATGCGGACCCTGCCGCTGGGGTGGGGCCCGGTATGCAAAAACGGTGCAGGCCGCCATGCGGACTCTGCCGCTGGGGACTTCGGTGGAGCTCCTTATGGGGCCACGAAGCGTGTGAGGGGTGTGCCGAAATAGGCGCGGGGCCGCCATGCGGACCGCTGGGCCCTTCGGTGGAGCTCCCTACGGGGCCGCGAAACGTGTGAGGCGCGAGCCGAATCTGATGCGGGGTCGCCGTGCGGACTCTGCCGCTGCGGCCTTCGGTGGCAGTCCCTTGGGGCCACGAAGCGTGTGATAGGCTGTGATAGGTGTGCCGAAATGGTGCACGGGGATGGGAGGAGGAGGAACTCGGCGCGCTGTTTTTTTTCAAAACCAGAACCCAACACCATACGGTGGTTAGAAAACAACTGATTAAACCTGCTCACCCGCACGCGAAAATTATCCGGGCGAAGGACCCAACCATATGCGGCTGCGAGTGCTGCAAAGCAGGTGGGACGCAGGAGGGGTAAGTCTTTATGGGGAAATGAAACGTGTAAAGGGTGTGCCGCAATTGGTGCGGGGCCGCCAGGCGGATCCTGCCGCTGGGGACTTCGGTGGAGTTCTCTACGGGGCCCAGAAGCATGTGAAGGGTGTGCCGAAATAGGCGCGGCAAGGCCATTGCGGCCGTCGGTGGAGCTCCTGACGGGGCCACGAGACAGGGAGGGGTGCGTCGAAATTGACGCGGGGCCGCCATGCGGACGCTGCCGCTGAGGCTTTTTGTGGAATACGTGTGAGGGGCGTGCCGAAATGGAGCGGGGCCGCCGTGCGGACCCTGCCGCAACGACCTTCGATAGGGCTCCCTATGGGGCCAAAAAGCGTGTGAGGGGTGTGCCGACAAGGGTGCGGGGCCGCGATCCGGACCCTGCTGCTGGGGCCCTTCGGTGGAGCTCCTCATGGGGCAGCGAAGCATGAGAAACGTGTGCCGGCATGGGTGCGGGGCTGCCATGCGGACCCTGCCGCTGGGGCCTCGGGTGGGGCTCCCCATGGCGCCACGAAGCATGGCAGTGGTGTGCCGAATCGGATGCGGGGTCGCCGTGCAGACCCTGCCACTAGGGCCTCCGGCAGAGGCCCCCGGGCCGCGAAACGTGAGGGGCAGGCGAGCCCGGAGTCGAAATGAATCGGATCGGCGATCGAAATGAATCGGATCGGCGAGAATCGGCAGCAAATCGGGAGATCTCGGATCGGCCAAGATCGGCCGGCGAATGGGCCGCCATTGCGAGATCGGAGCCCAAATCGGAATCCGAGGTCGAATCGAGTCGGAATCGGGACCCACGGAAATCGAATCAGATCGAAAGGAATCGCAAGAAACCCTGGAGGGGGGTGCCTAGTCGGGTGCGGGGCCGCGATGCGGACCCTGCCGCTGTGGCCTTCGGTGGAGCACCCTTTGGGCCATGAAACGTGCGAGGGGTGTGCCGAAATGGGCGCGGGGCCGCCGTGCGGACCCTGCCGCTGCGGCCTAGCAAGCTTGGCGACCCTCGGGTCTAGGACCCAAGGTGCTCGAAGATGCTCGGGCTCAAGATCTCGGATCCTCGATCCGAGGGTGGAGGATCGAGCCTGCTCGATGGCAACGCGCCGATCGAGGGTCGCCGAAGCTCGGTCCTCGAGCCTCGGATGTCGAACCCGAGATATTCGTGTCCAAGCTTGGCGACCCCTGGATCTAGGACACAAGGTTGTTGAAGATGCTCGGGCTCAAGATCTCGGATCATCGAACCGAGGATGCAGGATCGAGCCCGCTGGATTCCCTGATGATTGATCGAGGATCACTCGGCGAGAGAGGGGGGGTAGTACCCCGCAGCTTGGAACGCCACTCGCGCGTGCTCGAGCGCTCTCTGGGAGCTTGCAACGCAGATGGTGCCCGGGCGCGCGCCGCGAAACGGCACCCTCGCATCGAAAACCGTGGGGCGCTTGGCTCAGGGAGCTCGGGCGCCCAGTTGCCCGCGAGCATGAACGAGGCGGGCTCTGACTCGGCCTGCGTGTCGGTCTGGCTCCGCTCGCCATCGCGCTTGTTCAGCTTGTCGTACTCGGCCTGGATCGACGCGTACTTCTCGAGTAGCTCATCCTGCTTCTGCTGCTTGACGGTTTTCGAGTAGTCCAGCTTGGCGCGCTTGTCTCGGTGGCGGTGCTCGTGCAGCTCGTAGCTCATGCCTGCGGTTTTCTAGATGTTCCAGCGCCACTTGATGATGGCTAGGGCCGTAGCCTTGGCGACCCCGTCGTTCGACGTCGGGGCCATGAAGGTCTCGTTGCACCACTTGGCGCAATCTCGGGCCCTGCGCGGAATCACGTTGAAGAGCCTCTCGGCACTCTCGGCGGGCATCCCGCGCAAGTGCTCGACGGGCTCGAACTTCTCGTTGATCGGCAGCACTAGCTCGTGGAGGTGGAGGAGCTCGGCGGGGATGCTTGGGAGGGCTGACCTGATGCGCTCGGTGTAGGAGCCGCGGGTCAGCTTCTCGAGTGTCCCAGCTGCGGGGACAGAGGGGGAGGAGGAGGAGGAGGAGGAGGAGGAGGAGGAGGAGGAGGAGGAGGAGAAGGAGGAGGAGAAGCAAAAGGAGGAGGAGCAGGAGGAGGAGGAGGAGAAAGAGGAGGAGGAGCAGGAGGATGAGGAGGATTGGCCATTTTCATAAGGATCGGCACTCGGCGAGTGCTGATGCCTACCCAAACGTCGTTCTGACGTTTACTCCATGTTTGTAACTAGTGCATCCCATGGCCTTGCCGCACGGTCGTAGCGTGGGCAAACTGAACTGGCGAAAGTCCCACAGCCCTGCCACACGCTCGTGATTGCGGAGGCTGGTGTGGCGAGGCCATCGTGGCCATGTTGAGCATGTTTGATGCTGTTGCTAGTCAACACGATACGATAGCAACTTCGACCCCCGCAACTTTCCAGGTGATTATCAAGTTCGGCCCCCGCGCCTGTGGGCGGGGATAAAAAAATATAGGGGGTTAAGGGGGGGCACCTTTATCATCACCCCTTTCGGGGTTACACGTCAGAAACTACGATCCAAATTGAAATGTTACATCGCGTGTCGGGACGGCGGCCCCGGCGACACGCTATGCCCTGTGAGTGGATAGCGTATCGCTCCGCTCCGTGGGGCGGGAGGCTCGGAAAAGCTCAGGACGTTGACGCTGGGGGGCCTGGACGTGGATAGCGTGTCGCACCGAAGCGTGGTGGGCCACAACCGGCGGAATGACACGCTGAGGAGCGACACGCTGAGCCAAAGCTCCCGCCCGTAAGCTTTCCGTGCGTCAAATGGGGAGCAGTCGGCGGGTCCTGCTGCACCAGCAGCGGCTGCTCGCCCTCCTCGGGCCCCGGCGGCACGCAGCGGCCCGGCTCCAGTGTCAGCCGCCGCGGGGCGCCAGCCCTTGCGGGGCGCAAGCCGCTGCGGGGCGCAGGGCGCCCCGCCGCCGCCGCCACGAGCGCAGGTGGGGAGCAGCCGCAGCACTCCGGCCACCGCATGGCTCGGGCCAGGCTCGGCGGCTGCAGGGCTGTTCCATGGCTCTCCTCCCAGTCCCTCCCTCGCTCGTCCCCCCTCCTCCCTCGCTCGCTCCTCTACTCCCCTCCCTCTCCCGCCCTCCGTCCTTTGCTCCATGCCTGCCGCCTCCTTCTCCTCCTGTTCATCCTCCCCTTCCCCCTCCTCCTCCTCCTCCTCCTCCTGCTCCTCCTCCTCCTCCTCCTCCTCCTCCTCCTCCTCCTCCTCCTCCTCCTCCTCCTCCTCCTCCTCCTCCTCCTCCTCCTCCTCCTCCCAGCCCCTCTGCTCTCGCGAGGTTGAGAGAGTTGCGGACGCGTACTTCAGAGAGGCGCCGCGTTCGCGAGCCATTTTTGCTTGGCCCCTCCCCGCGCGGTGGATGGGGCCCGATGTACTTCCAGGTCCGCACCTCCCCCACTGGGGGTGCGGAAAATGCGGAGCAGCCGACAACTGGGCGAGTCGCCTCAGATGCCGCGGCTGCGGGAATGGCGCCCCCCAGAAGTTGCAGCAGGCAGCCCAGCAGGCCGCCAAGTTGCGCCAGAAGGGGGGAGGAAATATTGGCGGCGGCAAAGGGTCTGGACGCCCAGGTTCTTCGCAGGACCAGGGAAAGATCATCGTCGCCATGCAGAAGAAACTGGACATGCTGCGTGACAAGGAGGAGAAGTCCGCCAAGCCGCCCGCAGCGGGGCAGCAGCAACAGCAGTCAGCAGGAGGACCCAGCACGCTCGTACAAAGACGCGATGGTCTTCCTCAAAGACCAGAAGTGTGATGAAACGGTCTTGCACCCGATCACGAAGTGCCAGCAGCGTGAGCAGGCTGAGCACCCGCCCTCGGTCGTCACTGCAAGATGGAGAGTTGAGAACCTACGGAAGAAGTCTGAGAAGCAGGATCTGCAGCTCCAGAAGACCACAGAGCGCCGCGAGCAGCCCCTCAAGGAGGAGGCTGAGATGCTCGCGGCCATCCAGGACACCAAGAAGGACCTCCCAGCTGCAGAGGCCCTGTACTTGCGCGCGCATGCCGTCGACATCAATGACGTGGCCAAGGACGCGACTGCCGCGCTGGATCCCAGCTTGCACACTAACGCTGAAGCCAAGGCCGCCATGGAGGCGTTGGCGAAGCTCCAGCGGACAGCCTTGGACCTCAAGGGCGCGGCGCGGGAGGTATAGCAGGATGAGCGGATTGGGGCGGAATGGGTCTCATCCTCGGCGGGCGCTTGAGCTCGGCGATGGGCACGCTATGCGCTTGACCGACATTCTCCGCAGGTTTGAAGAGTTTCTGCAGGAGTTGTTTCTCTCCATGACGAATGTCGTTTGTTTATTGACAAGGCCAACGGAGGCGCGCGCCCCATCGGCTTGCTGGCCATTTTAACACAGATTCGCGGGGCAACGCATGTTCAAGCGTTGGAAGCAGGATCACATGGAGGACGACTTTTGAGGGGCCAGCAAAACTACCGCGTGTGAGCGAGCTGTGTGGGTCCATAATGTCCTTGGGAGTTTCTCGAAAAGGGTCGGTTTCGAGTCGGCCTCCGCCCTGTTGGACCTGTTTAAGTTTAACGAACACATAGGTCACGAGCACCTGTACGAGGCGGCGCTGCGAATCAACGTTCCGATTAGGTTGTTGCGCTGCCTGCGCGCGGTATATGCATGCCCCCGCACGCCATTGCACAGAGGAGCGGCGCCTCGAGCGGCGCATGCTTACGGGTCCGTGATCGCGGGCTGCAGTGGAGCAACATGTCTAGCGAAGCTGCTTCTCCTGGGCCCGATGCTGCAGGCAAAGCAGGGGAGACCGCAGTTGATGGTTAGGAACGCGGTCGATGACATTGCCTCGCAGGAGTATGGGGAAAGGAGCAGGTGGCCCATGTTCTCGGCGAGGGGGTGGAATCACTGCTGACGGACTTTGATCGTCTGAGCCTTCTAGCAGCCGTGGGCAAGACCAAGTATATTTGTAGCCTGGACGTGTCTCGGCTTCTCAGGGGTCTCTGGGGGATTCCCCCTTCGTCCAGAGTGGGCTCGGCTCGGAATCTTCGCACGGACGCGTCCTCGGGATCCTGTAGAAGGGTAGGCATCGCCAGGAGCAGGTTTGTCTCCGCAAAGTCAAGGGGCCAGCGTTTGCAGATATTGCACGGTGATGGCGCGGATGTTGGCCTCATCTAAAAGGTCGGGGCCACTGTTGCACCGCTTTGGAGAAGCAGTGCCACAGGGATCCCCCCGTCGGCCATGCACGGCCTTCGTATTTCAGCTCCCCGTGGCATGGGAAGGCCCCCATAAAGGATCCAATCTTGGGCCCAGGCTCCACTCGCACAGGTTAGGGGCCTCGGCAGACCTGCTGGTTGCCTGCACGGGAATGTCGCGTTTCAGTGGGCCTCGGCTGCGTGGGAAAGTTTCCCCTCACCGACGGTGTTTGGTGCTACCATGGGCGCGGCCCTTGACAAACTGGAGCGGTTCTGTCACCCGCGGAGGGTCGCCTCGTCGCCAGCGGAAGTCGTTTGCCTGACTGCGTCCAGGATCGGCTGGCGTTTGTCGTCTAGCACGCGCCTGAGGGACGATCTTGGGCGCGCGTGGAACCTGTGCCAGCTTTCGCCGTCTGGGCTTCGAGGGCTGGTGCTGGACGGGGCCATGCGGGCGTCGGGTCGCCTTGCTCTGGACAGTTCTGGGCGGCTTGGGGGAGAGGGGCCCCGGGGTCACCATGATATGTTCCTCGCGTTATGTTTGGGGGAGGGGGCTGCGCCAGCTCCTCCGCAGCAAGAAAGATGACTTGTCCAGCCACCGCCAGCGCGCGCTCAGAGCGCTGATTTGCAATGTGCATTGGCCGCAAGCTGGGGTGCGTGGGCATGGGATGCATACTTCATCGTTGTGTCGGTTGTGTCAGGCCTGTGTAGGTACGCTGCGGCGTAGGCAGTACGAGTGTGTGGCGCACGAAAATCTCAGGAGGGACGGAGTCTCGCCGCGGCTGGGTGAGCGCGCGGCCAGAGCCCTGGAGCGGGGGGGGGGAGGCGGGAGAGCGTGTTGCTAGATGTGTGTTCCCGAGTCCCCTCGTTTTTGTGCCCCGCGAAGAGGCCGCTGAGGCCGTCAGGTGGGTGAACAAGCCTGCTTGTGGGTTCCGCACGGGATGTATGTTCAGTGACAGCTCGGCTATGTGGCCATCGCTAGAAGGGGTCAGTCGGGCGGGCTGGGCGCTTGTGCAAGTGGATAGGCTTGGCAATGTAATGCATGCAGCGTTCGGCCCAGTGCCATGTCGTTCGGCTCCCGCCGTACGGCCAAAGATGGTGACGATTTCGCGGTCGATTTCGCGGTCCACATGTTGGCGCACGTGGGGGGGGGGGCTTTCCAATTGTATCTAGACTGCCAGTCGACGCTCAATGTCCCTTGCGGGGGCTCAGGCACGGGGACCGAAGCTTGGGCTCCAAGAGGGCACGTGTGGGCGCCGTTCTGGGCTGCGTTTTCGAGTGAGGATTTTGTTGCCTACGAAACGCTTGCCCACGCGGGCAGTGGTGGCGTAGAGAGTGGTAAGACGACCTGGTGGGAGCTCAGAGCCAACCAGGCCGCAGACCGCCATGCGAAGGCAGGAGCCCTGCTGCATGGAACCACCGGGGAGCATGCGAGTCTGATCAGAGACTTCAAGACCCCTTGCCAAGAGCAGGGAAGGTGGGCGGGCAGGCTGGAGGTCTGGCTCGCCCAACAGGGCGGTAGGTGCGACACTGTCGGAGTCGCCGCCGAGGAGCACGGACCCTCGGAGCAGCCGCCCCCCCCCCGACAGTGATGAAGGAGAGGAAAAGCCGTCGTCGAGTGTCGTCGTGGAGGAGGGCGGGGTTGACGATGAGCTGTAGGCCGTTGATGCCCTGAGTGCCTTTTACTTCGGAGAGCATGGCGTGCTCAGATGTGGAATAGAGGGGCCGTCCGAGGAGCATGGCAAGATCCTTTTCTGTGTCAGGTGCGGGGGGGTACACCTCGGGGAAGCCTGGCGGGCCGTCGTTGTCTCGCTTTGGGCGGAAGCCAGCGGGCCCGAAGGTGAGGTCCCTCCTGCGTCACATCAAGAGGGGGAGGCACCCCCACGATCGTCTCTCATCGAAGGCCCTCGTGCTCAGCCAACCAGTTTCGTTGCGTGCTGGGGAGAAGGCTGAGCTCGAGGACTTTCAGTCTCAGCCTTCCGCGGGCTCGGGCTCCGCCACGGGCGGGGCCGCCGCGGCAGGGTCTTTCGGTTTGCCCCCGCAGGCATCAGTCCGTGCGGCCTGTGGGCTACACGTCGCCGAGTTGGACCGAGTGACGGTGCTCGGCCAATCGGGCGGCGGAGGGACCCCCGACAATGACTCGGAGGCCTCCGATGAGGACATGTTCTAACCCGCCTTCATGGCCAGCCACCGCCACCACCACCACCACCACCTCCTCCCCCTCCTCCTCCTCCTGCTCGTTCGCCTCCTCCTCATCATTCGCTTCTTCCTTCCCGTCAACTACTGCATCCTCCTCCTCCTCCGCCTCCTCGCACGTAGCCCAGGAAAGTCCACAAGTCATCATCACTCTACATCAGCCTGCTGAAGCATCTGGGCTCGGGCGGCCCGAGCCGAGGTTACCAGAGCCTGAGAAGAGCAACGACGGTGAGCATTGTAAAGGTAGAACGCAATTACAAGACGCTGGGCTGCCAGGTCCCGCTCATCATCTGTAAGCGAGCGAGCGGGGGCGAGCCGAGAATCGAGATGCACTGGGAGGGGCTTGTCAGGATGCCAGACTTGGAGAACCGCGCCCCAGAGCCACGGGCAGGTCATATAATGAGCCTGGCTGTCCTCACCCTCCTCCGCAGAACATCCGAAAAGACACAGGCAGCGCTTCTGAGACATCCTCCGCTCCGTCACCCACCCACCCGCTAACGTCTTCACAATGCACATCTGCCAAGACGGCGGCGCGCTCAACAATCGGGTCCTAAGAGCGGGCCAGTCTATGGCTTTCAGGGCACGGGCAGAAGGAGGCCTCGAGGCCCACGAAGAAATACGCCGCGT